GTGAATTTGTGCCCCCAAAGTTGGATGCCAGATGATGAGTTAATCTAATTAATCTGTATCAATAAACAATTGTGCATCAGATATTGGATAAAGAACCTGAAAAATCACAGAACAGGGAGCAACCACCAATTGTTATGGGAGATTCTTGGCCCGGCAGATCCTGCCACTCTTGAGCCTCAAAATAAACACAAAAGAGACATATATTAATTATGAAAGTGTTGGCCGGTGACTAGGGCTTATTATTGGCTAGCTCCATCTTAATTATTAACCCATTTCTATAAGATCTATGTATTTCCACGTGGTCTTGGCTTACTGAAAAAGGGCCCGAACCTGCTACTCCTTTGGCGGATTATAAGGTGACACCTGTGTATCTCCTCTTCCCAGAATTCTCCTCCTCTGGCAGCCTTGCCTATCCTTCCTGCCTGGCCACAAGCCACACAGAGTTTTATTCATAAACCAATAAGAGAAACACATACACAGGCGGACAACCCCATCAACCAGTTTCTTCCTACCTCTTCCATTCTTCCATCCAAAAGGACAGAGCTCCTCTCCCTGCCCCACCCTACCATTTCCGTCTCCTCTCTGCCTACAGTCGTCCAAATATCTATGGTCAGCTAGTGGCTATCTGTGCCCTCTGTCTTCAAGCAAGTTTATTTGTCAGAACATGATCAAAATATCACACAACAGAGGTCCCTGATGGGGAAGTTGAGGAAGCCTGGGCCAGATGCCCTGGGTCACACAGCTTAGAAGTGGTGGCATTTGGTTCTGAAACAAAGATCTATATCTTCTCAATGCCATGGCTGGCCTGGAACTCACTCTGAACACCAGACTGGCCTTGAACTCACAGAGATCTCCATGTCTCTGCCTCCCAAATGTTGGGATTAAAGGTGTGCCACACCACCACCAGGCCCCAATGCCTTTATAAATACATTTGAAGATTTTATATATATTTGGGGGGAGTTATGCTGTGGGTCAGCACACCTGTGGAGCTCTGAGGACAACTTGCAGGAGTCTGTTCTCTCCTTTGACCATGTGAATCCTGGGGATGCACCTAGTGTTTGGACTGGCAGCAAGTGCCTTTATTCCCTGAGCCATCTTGCCTGCCCAAAGCCTCTCATATTAGCTGCTATGTTATACTTATTCCATATTTACTAAACACTTGAAAACTGCATCATTGGCTGTAAACCAAACATTGGACCAAACCCATAATCAGGGTAAGATTTATATATAATTCCTATTTTACAGGTGAGGTTTCAGACATCTGGGAATATAGCTCACTTGCTAGAAGTCTTGTCTAGTATGCACAGAGCACTGGGTTCCATCTGCAGAACATATACATTGAGTGTGGTGGTGTACACCGGTATCCCAGCACTTGGAAGTTGAGGCAGGATGATTGCCATAACTCATAATTTCAGAAGTGGTGGTTGATGTTTGTAATTTTCCATGTTTTAGGATTAAATATCCCTGTTTATTTGTTTTTATGTTTAGGAATGAGTTGGCATCCTATGTCTTCTTCAGTCATTCTCTACCATGTCTTTAGAGTCTAGGTCTCTACTAAACATGACACTCACATTTAGCTAGCCTGAATGAGGATCAATGCTCCTCACTTCCCAACAGAGTTCAAGATGCCCCAGCCACATCTTGTTTTTTACATGGGCTCTGGGCACGATAGATCAAGGCCTTGGGTTTTTATGTCAACCACTTTACCAACTGTGCCATGTCCTCAATCCCACAACAATTACTTCTGTTTATTATAAGTGTGCTCTAGCAATTTGGGCAATGTAATCCTCTTGTGTGCTTTCTCTCTCAAACCTGATTCAGCACCGATGGGAGGTCCACCGATTTCTTTTGGTTATAAATTGTATGGAGCCCAGTCATGGGCACCACTCAACTTTGGTTCTTGTTTTTCTACAGGCAAAAACAATGACTGTGAGGCCTTCATCTGTAGTTTGACAGCCAGGTTACCATCTGCTTCTCCAAGGCTCCATATACCAAGCAGTACACGGACATTCACTGTTTTACTTCTCACCTCAGTTACTGCCTGCACCACCACTGCTTATCTGGTCATGTTCACTTCATACCGTGCCCTCTGGTAAAGAACCTATATAAATAACCTGGATTTGGTGATTGTATTATCTATCTAAAGAACATAACTAGATCCTCGGAGAACATCCTTCATTTAGCCCTGGAAGTCAGAGATAAATGGGAAAGACATTTCCAGGAAGCAAGCAGCTTGAAGAGTGGTTTATGAGCCCAGCCATGATTTTAATTCCAGAACTCTGGGATGCAGAGGTAGAGGAGGGCAGATCTCTTGATATCAAGCCAACCTGATCTAAAAAGAAAGTTCCAGGCAAGCCAGGAGTATTAAGAAGAAGAAGAAGAAGAAGAAGAAGAAGAAGAAGAAGAAGAAGAAGAAGAAGAAGAAGAAGAAGAAGAAGAGGAGGAGGAGGAGGAGGAGGAGGAGGAGGAGGAGGAGGAGGAGGAGGAGGAGGAGGAAGCAGCAGCAGCATAACCAGTCTGAGATGCATAGTGGGGTAATGAGGACTGTTGTGGAGTATTATTTTAAGATGTGTGACATTTGTTTATGCTGAGAAACGTTTGTTTAATATGCAAAGATTTGTTGCATTTGTTTATTTCTGTGAAGCTGTGTTGTTGTGCTTGTCTAAAACACCTGATTGGTCTAATAAAGAGCTGAATAACCAATAGCCAGGCAGGAGAAAGGATAGGTGGGGCTGGCAGTCAGAGAGAATAAATATGAGGAGAAATCTGGGGAGATGAAATATGAATGACAAAAGGAGGAGGGGAGGAGGCATGGAACAAGCCACCTAGGCACACAGTAAGACATGGAATAGGAAGTAAAGAAAGGCATAGAGAAATGAAATAGCAGAAGATAAAAGCCCAGGCACAGACTGGATATGGTAAGTTAAGAAACCTGGCTGTGAACAGGTCAAGCTAGGCTGGCAATTCATAAGACGCAATAAGCTGCCCGTTGTTTATTTTGGAGCTAGGTGGTGGCCCCCCAAAGGGCAAAAAGCATAAACCAAAGACAGAAAGGGGAAGGAGAGGGGGAGAGACGAGGCAGGGAAAAGGACAGGAATTGAGGGGAGGGAGGAAAGGAAAGAGAAAACAGAGATGGAGGAGGAAAGAGAATGGAGAAAGAAGACTGGTATCGGAGCCAACATGTTGTCCCTAAAAATACTGAACTCACCCATGTGGTGGTGACTACGCTTTTAAATCCAGAAATGGGGCACAGAAGTAGGCAGATCTCTGTGAGATTGAATCCAGCTAGGTCTACTGAGGGAATTCCAGGGCAGGCTCCAAATCTACAGAGAAACCCTGTCTCAACAAACAAACAAACAAACAAAACTGCAAAAGTTGTACTCAAAATGCTTCTTGGTGCACTCATCATAAGAAGTTGGATATCAGAAGCGAAACTGGAGTGACAGTAAATGACGAGAAGGCAGGATTATATCCCGGTAGGCTTCCAGGTTTCTCTGTGCCTAAAGACACACCACAGGGTAATTGTCACACTAAAGTGTGCAGAGCCTGTATTTTGCAACAAAGAAAACAGAACATTTCCTCATCTCAATCACAGAATCCTATAGGTAAATCCTATAGGTAAATCCAGGTTAATCTCTGGTTTTCTGGTCAACCAGATTCAGGAATAAAATGTCTCATTAGCTAGTTTAAGGCTACATGGCTCTCAGTCTCTCTTTTCCTTTAGTAAAAATCTTCATAGTCCTCTGCATTTACCCCCTAAACCTCAGCCCCATCCATGTCCCAAAGCTCAGGCCTTGCTCCCCTCCCCAAAACAGACCTGGTGAGCAACAGGTGCAGCTAGAGCCCCCCGAGGTGCATTTCTGGAAGTCTCTGTTAGTGTCTGTCCAGAGTCCCACTGCAGGTAGAGGGCTCTTGAGTGTGAAGAAAACAAACTCAACTAACCCTTCCATGGTTTTTATCCTGGGAAGAGGTGAGAAGTGGGGAACAGGAGGTGCTGGGGTGCTAAGGGACAGGATACATGAGATGTGGCCAAACACAGAGGCAACAGGGTGTTGGAACAGCAGACATTGTTCAACAGTCACTATGTGGTTGCTGAGACTTGAACTCTGTTCTTTTGGAAGAGCAGAAAGTGATGTTAAGAGCTGAGCCGTCTCTCCAGCCCCTGTAATGGTTGATTGTCAGCTTCACATACTGGGGCTGGAGAGCCTTGGCTGAAGGATTGCCTGCATCACACTGGCCTGTGGTCACAGCTGCTGGGCATTTGCTTTCTTTCTTTCCTTTCTATTTTTTTGTTTCTGGAGAAAGGGTTTCTTTGTGTCTCTGTCTATTAAAACTCAGATGTTCACTGGTTGACATGAAGGTAGTCCTTCACCTCCACCACCCTGCGTCTTTCCAAATTTTTAAATGGAGTTTGTAGTGTAGTAAGATGCAGCCTATGATCAAGTCTATTGACCTGAGTTTGATTTCTGGAATCCATTTAAAGGTAGAAGGGGAGAACTGACTCCACAGATTTGTCCTCTGACATCCACATGTGAACACATGCTCTCTCTCTCTCTCTCTCTTTCTCTCTCTCTCTCTCTCTCTCTCTCTCTATCTCTCTCTCTCTCTCTCTCACACACACACACACACACACACATGTGCACTATCTGGCTCTCCCCTCACACTATTTAATTAGTTAATTAACATTCGAATTTGCAATTGTATCTACCTCAAAGACTGTCTGGTCTTGGGATAGACTTAGCGCTTATTTTGTACAGTTAACATGGAGGATTGTTAGGGACAGCTATTCCTGCCTGTGATTGCTCTTCAGTATCACCATCCCTCAGTCCCAACCCCAGGAGCAATGTCTATGTCTTCTTGTAACCTCAGAGCCTCCACGGGGGGAGGGACTTGGCACTTTGTCAGTCACTGCACTTGAGCTGCTGTGGGTGTTGAGCCAGCCCTTTTCCTTTGCCTCTGTGACAGCACTGATTCAGGCTCTGCCACCATCTACAGTAGCTCTGCCAGCTGGAACTGTCTGTGAGTGTGGACACATTCTACTTATGTGCTATACACACACAGCAGTCACAGGCCCCGTGTGCTGACTGGACACTGTCAGAGCACAGCTACAGGACTATAAAGAGAGCAGTCACTCGAGTCCTCCCCTCACTCAAGATGAAACTCCTTCTGCTGGTCACTCTGATCACAGGTAGGACCCTTGATCCCTCTGAGTGTCCCACTATTTCCCTTGTCTTCAGTGCACAGCCTACCTCCCCACCCTCCACCCCCGCTTATACCTGAGGTTCTAGTTTGTAGTTCCATTTGTGGTCTAATAGCCTCTGGGTTGGGGTTCCCTCCTAAGTCCTTGTCCTCAACAGCTGGTACCATTGTCCTCTAGTATGAACTCAGAGGACTCCTTAGGAAGTCCACTACATTCACCTGCACAAGCCAAGAAAGCCATGTCACCTTTGCCTTATTGTCCTGATTCCATTTTGCAGGGCCTAATTTGCCCCAGCAATTAAAATTTTCTCATCCTTTAAAAAATATTGACCTTTATTTCATGTGTATGAGTGCTTTGCATGCATGTGTGTCTGTGAACTGTGTGTGAGCAGTGACCACAGAGGACACAAGAGGAGTCTGATCCTACAGAACAGAGGTCACAGACAAGTGTGAGCAGTCATACAGGTGCTGGAAACCAGCCTGGGTCCTACACAGCTCAGCAAGTGTTCCCGACTCCAGGGCCATCTCTCCAGACCTTGTTGTTTTAACATGACCTTATTATGTGGTTCTGGATTTCCTCCAATTCAATATTATTGCCTAGACTTGGAACCTTCCTACCTCTACCTTCCAAGTGTTATGATGACATACATGCCTGTCTTGTTTCTGCAATTCATTTTTCTTTTTCTTTTCTTGGGACAGGGTTTTTCTGTGTAGCGGTGGCTGCCCTAGCACTCTATGGACCAGGCTGGTTTGAAGTCAGATATCTACCTGCCTCTGCCTCTAGAGTGCTGAGATCACACACTGTGTGATCCATTGTACATGGCTTCTCCTTCATTTTAATGGCAACCAAGTATCCCTCTGCAGATTGCATCCTGGCTTATTTACCTGCTCCTCAGCTGATAAACAGTTTATGTCAAATACAGATGTTATGCATGATGAACTGACCATTAGTCTGTATATGAGCCTTGTGTGGCCATACAACAGATTCCTCCTAATTTTTCCAGTGTAAAAACATTAAGATCGTGTTGGCTGCTTCTCTGGCTCAAGGTCTCAGCTAGACCTGTGATGAATCCCACTGCTGGCTCTGGCTAGGGTTTCACCTAGGCTTGAGTAGGAGTGGGGTAGTGTAGTCAGAAGTTCCCTGTCCTGACCTCCTGGTCCCACATAAACACATAGAGGGTTATATGACTTATAAATGCTTAACCAATAGCTAAGGCTTATTATTAACTATCTCTTACATTTATGTTAGCCAATATTCCTTATTTAATATCTGCCACAAGGCAGTCCCTTTATTAGCATCGAACATTCATCTACTGCTCCTTCTGCATCTGGCTGGCAACTCCTGACTCTGCCTTTCTCATTCACATCATCCTCCATTTGGTTACCCCACCTAAACTCTCTACCTGGCTACTGGTCAATCAGCGTTTTATTAAACCAATTCTAATGACAAATCTTTACAGTATACAAGAGGATAATTCCTCAGCATTTGCCCCTTTTTATCTTATTAAAATGGAAGATTTAAACTTCAACATTGTAAGATTATATATAACAAAAATTAAGTAAGAATTACAGTAATAATATCCAGTTTATTTGCGTTGGATTGGCAAAATTAGAGAGCGTACTTTGTTATCTGTTTCATCTTTGTAAGCCCAAAGTTTTGGACCTAATTTATCTTTTCTCATAACTAAAGAAAACTGTAACTATAACTATATAGACTTCAAATCCATCAAAGATCCCAGAAGGGTGAAATGTTACAGAGACTTCAAGCTGCCTAGACAGTGACCCTAGGTTCTGCTGTAACACTGGGACATCCAACTTTGACCTGTAGACCTAGCACATATGACAGACTTCTGAGAAGCAGGAATTTAGAAGGACTGTCCTACCTTACTTTGGCAAAGTTCAGCAGTCACTTTCTTTTGTGTCCAATTTGGACAGCATAGTGTCAGCAGTCCAGGCAAGGACATTTTCTTGCCCACTGGGTAACTTTTGTCACAAAGGAAGTGAAGTTCATATTGAATTTCTTTGATGCCCATCATCTTCTCTGAAGTAGATTGGTGTTGCCAGGAGCAGACGTGTCTCATTGTCATAAAAACTTATGCTATTGAGACATCTTTAATGCCATATTCTGTAGATCTCTGGAGTGTTTAAGGTGACCTGCCTGTCTAAAACGTATCTGCATACTCTGGATGCAGAACTCAGAGGAAACTGCAACAGAGGCTCTCTAAATTGCTGGTTCATCTGGGCCATCCTTTCCCATTGGAGATTTTTCAGGGCTTCTTCCTCGATCAATTCTGATTTTTCTTAATCCAGACCAAATCCACAGCCTCTCATTTCCTGTGGAAATAAAAGCAGTACCCCTTTCCCAAAGTAAAATCTCTTGACTTAAATTTTGAAGTCAAGATAATTTTGAAATACATGGGTTGAGTTAATCTAGCAGCTTTAATAATCAAATGTCTCTCAGTAGTTATCATTTGTTCACTAGTAGCCAAAAATTAAATACAAAACAATAGAATATATTATCTTTGTGTATTTTCCATCTCTTCAAGGCTTATTGCATTTTTTATTACTCTAGTTCTTTTTAAGACTTTTTCTACATTTTTCATCTTTTTCCCAAAACATACATATTTTTTGAACACACTGTTGCCAATTTACAGGGTTTTGTTTTAGACTGAATCTACCTTTACTACATATCCCTTACTTTTTCTACCCACATGAGTCTTGAAACTACCTAGCAGGATGGTTAGGACCAAAGTGGAAGCTTGGGCAGCTGGCTCCAACACATTCCTGGTTCCTTGACAGGTTAGTCTTGTGGTGAAGGTACTTTTAACACCATCTCTGGGAGCTTTGTTTACCATGCCAACTCTGGGATGTTTTTGGATCCACACCACCAGCAAGTGGTATATCATCCACTGCTCACACTGACTGTAGGACATCTTAAAAGAGCCACCAGTTTTTGCTAATACCACTGAGACAGGATGCCATCTCTTAAAGGAACCATATCTCTGCTTACTGCCAGCAAACACAGCCCACCCAAGAAAATGCAGATACTATGAAGCCCTGATTCACTCCGTTTTTGTGTGTCTAGAACACTTTTAAAAGCTTTGTCAGGCTATGTGATAATTTCAGTCACATATTGGAATGCCATATGTAGTCAGAAGTTTCCTGCCCAACTGGCCAATCCCAAATGAACACAAAGAGGCTTATATGGATTATAAATGCTTGTCCAATAGCTCAGGCTTATTACTTGCTAGCTCTTACATTTTAAGTTAACTGATATGTCTTATTCATGCTCAGCCACATGGGGGCAGCTTTAATAGCCTAACACGTTCATCTCCTGCTTTGTCTACATCTGGCTGGTGACTCCTGACTTCATCCTTCATCCCATCATCTTTAGTTAGGTCACCCTGCCTATACTTCCTGTCTGGACTGGACAATAAGCACTTTATTAGACCAATTTGAGTGATAAATATTTACAGAGGAAAAGAGGATTATTTCACACCAGGGCAGCTTTCAAAGTCAAGAGATAGTTGGATTGTTGGGTTATTGAACTAAGAGATCAGTTTTTCTCTGGCTGCTGACAGGAGAATGTTCTAAGCTCCTCAACACAGGGACCACAGGGCAGCTCACAGTGTGGCAGCTGTCTGTCCTGACAGTGAGAAATGAGAAGGCAAGCAAGGCAAAAGGCAATGTCTATAGATAGAACTTAATCTTGGAGAGTCAGATGAGCTTGATACAGTGGTGTTCATTTACAATCCTACCACTCAGGAGGCTGAGGCCAAGGGTTGCTACAGAGTTAGAAGCTAGCCTGGGCTTCAGGGCAACTCTCTGTCTCAAATGGTTAGACACCTACCTGCTCAAACCTAATGACTTGATTTTGGTCACCAAGACCTACATAGTGGATGGAGAAAACAAACTCCCTAAAGTTGATGTCTTGTGAACATGTGTATGGTAAACACACACACACACACACACACACACACACACACACACACACACACACACACGCGCGCGCGCGCACGTGCGGGCATACACACTCACACACACTCTCACACATACACACACATACACACACTCACACACACACACACCTCTATTCACTGCTCATCTGATACAACAGTAGGTAGGAGTCCAGGAGGAAGCCAGCAGGCAGGCATCAGACCCCCAGTAAAGCCAAGTGGGACTGATGGAGTGTGCTGTGCATTCTTGCAGCAGGTGCTACTGCACAGAGCATCAGCCCTCGGGCTGTGTGGCAGTTTGGCAATGTGTTCCAGTGCAACATCCCTTTGATTCAACGCTTCATGGAGTACAATTTCTATTGCTGGTACTGTCTCTTTGATGGCTGGAACCACCCGATGGAAGACATAGACAGGTGAGTGATCCATCTGGTGGGAGACTGCAGTGTCTGGGTTTGGGTGGGGACAGGACAGGAAACACGCATATTTACTAAACATCCTATTTTGTCTTATCTATTATTTTTTCTGTTTCCAGACAGTGGTTATCTACATACCCCTAGTTGTTCTGGAACTCTCTCTAGAGACCATGCAGGATTAGAACTTGAAGGTCTTCCAGCTGAGGTTGAAGGTGTGCATCACCAGCCCCACAATGTATTTTCCCATCTTGTCATGTAAAGAAATCAGTCCCAGAGGACCCTGTATCCAGTCGTCCCTGAAAGCAGAATGAGTGAGATACAGAGAGTGGGCATTGCTGGTCTCAGGCACCAGACAAGGGTGTGACCAACCTTCACAGCCACCATCGAAGTATCAGCCTTGTCTTTAAGAAACTTTCACAACTTCAGAATACATAATTTCACTATATTCAGTCAGGCTTAATAAAAATGCACTTTTTTGGAGATAGAGTTTCACTGGTATATCCCTGGCTGATCACTAACTCAGAAATCCATTTGCCTCTGCCTCCCAAGTACTGACTGGGATTAATGTCATACATGACAATACTCCACAGGAGTTCCTTTCAATAAATGTGTACTGATAGAAAGCACAGATTCTCAGCTCTCGTAACTATTTCTTCTGGAACATTGTGATTAAGTTATCCTCACATGTTTGCGAAAGATGGCAGGTGAGAACTGACCTCCTGTGGGTCCATGGTCCTCCCTCAGCTGTTCCTCTCTCCAGGTGCTGCAGGGCTCGCGCCAACTGCTATGCTCAGGGCAATAACATGAAAAACTGTAACTTCCGCTTAGGCGACCTGTACACGACCTCCTATTCATACTCGTGTTCTGGAGCTGTGGTCACATGTAATGGTAGGTTTACCCTGGGGACCTCTGGGTTCTGCTTGCCCTCAGGAGATTTGGAAGGGGCAGGGACTTAACAAGGACAGTCACCATTTAGCAGTCATTCCCTAAGTCCCATTGGACATAACAATTCCCTTATCAGGTAGATACTAAAATATAGATAAGATCCCTGATGAGGAAGATGAGGAAGGAAGGTTAGCCACTTGTCCAAGGTCACCCAGCTTAGAAGTGATGGCATTTGGTTCTGGAATACAGAACTACATCATTCCAAAGCATTTTAAAATCACTTAAAGATTATATGTATTTCTGGGTGAGGCATGCATATCTGAGAAAAAAGTGTAGGAGGCTAGTCTGTCCCTTTACCATGTGAGTCCTGGGAAATGCAACAGAGGTTCAAACTTGGTAGCAAGGGTCTTTATTCCCTGAGACATCTTGCCTACCCAAAGCCTCTCCTATTAACCATTATGTTTACTGATTCTGTGTTTACTAAACTACTGGAAGCTGCCTCATTAGCTATAAGCCAAACACTGGACTAAACATATATGCAGGGCAAGATTTATCATTCCCATTTTACAGGTGAGGATTCAGAGAGCTGGGAATAAAGCCCACTTGCTAGAGTGCACAGAGCCCTGGGTTCCACCTCCAGAACCCATGCATTGAGTGTGGCAGTGCACACCTGCCATCCCAGCATTTGGGAGGTGGAGCCAGGAGGATTGTCTTAAAGCATATGTTTTTAGACGTGACAGTTGATATTTGTCTTTTTCTGGGTTTTAGGTTTAAATATACATGTATATTTTTATGTATAGGAATGAGTTCTGTCTTCTCCAGACACTCTCTACCATGTTTATTGGCTGGGTCTCTCACTAAACAGGACACTCATCTTTAACTAGCCTGACTGACTGACAAATATGGGGATCTGTGCTCCCCACGAACTCAAGTTCGGTTGCCCCAAACACACCTTCCTTTTTACATAAGCTCTGGACATCCTAGTTCAGGCCCTCATGTTTTTATGACAATCACTTTACCCATGTTGTCATCTCCCCAGCCTGACAATAACTAATTTTTATTGTAAGTGTGTTCCAGCAATTTGGGCAACCCCATGTACTTTTGTGTGCTTTGTCTCTCAACTCTGAGTCCGCACAGGTGGGAGGCTCACTGGTGCCTTTTGTTACAAATCATAGGGAGCAGGCGATGGGCTTCACTCAACTTCCTTTCTTGTTTCTCTGCAGAAGAAAACGATGCCTGTGCGGCCTTCATCTGCAACTGTGACCGCCAGGCCGCCATCTGCTTCTCCAACACTACCTATAGCAAGGACTTCAGTGGAGATTACTGTTAGACTTGTCACCTCAGTTACTGCCTACACCACTCCAGCCTGCCTGGTTGTGTTCACTACACACTGTGCCCTGTAATAAAGCACCTATTGAAAGAACTGGGGTTTGGTGATTGTATTCTCTGTCTACAGAACGTAAGTAACTCTTCAGGAGCATCATTCAGTCTATCATTGGAAGGTGAAGATTAATGGGAAAGAATTTGCCATTAGGGGAGCACTTTTAAAAGTGCCTTTCCTACCAGGCAGGGGAGCCATGCCTTTCATACCAGAACCCTGGGATAGAGAAGAAGATGCAGAGGCAGGCAGGTATCTTGAGTTCAAGACAACCCTGATCTAAAAATCCAGTTCCAGCACAGCCAGGTAGAAAGGCAGGTAGAAGGAGATAGAAGAGAGAAAGATGGGCACTAAAGTCAACATTGTGTCCCTAAACGTGCTGGAATCCTGAGTGGTACTGGGGCCCACCTTCAATTCCAGCACTCTGGACTCAGAGATAGGTGGATATCTGTGAGTTCCCAGCCAGGTCTAAACATGCCCCACAAGATAACTGTCCCGCTAAAGTTCACAGCAGCAACTTTTTGCAACAAAGAGAATCATCTTCCCTTTCTTTCTCTATCACGGGACCTGACAGGTGAAGCCAGGTTAATCTATGGTTCTCTGGTCACCCTGATTTAGGAATAAGATGTCTCACTGTCTAGTTAAAGGCTAAGTGGTTCCCGGTCTCCCTTTTCCTTTAGTGAACAGCTGCCCGGTCCTGTCTTTCTGCCACCACCCCAGCCCCACCTGTATGCCAAACCCCAGGCCTCATCTCTCCCAAGGACAGGCCTGTTGAGTAATAGATACACTCCAGTCCCAAGCACGAGCACAGTGACCATCTACAGTAGATCTGACAGTTGGAACTGTCTGTGAGGGTTTTCTTCACCTTCTTCTATACATATTATTCTTAGGTTTTGTTTTTTCACGGTGTCCCATATTGCCTGGATATTTTGTGTTTGAGATTTGTTGGACTTAAGATTTTTTTTTGATCGATGAATCTATTTCCCCTAGTGTATCTTTATTTTTTATCATTTTTATTTTAATTTTAAATAGCTTGTTTTACATGTCAATCCCAGTTCCCTCTCCCTCCCCTCTTCCCACACTCCCCTTCCCCCCCCCCCCTATTGCCAAATCCTTCCACATAGGGGATATCTAGAGTCTGTCATTTTACTCTTGGTAGGGTCAAGGCACTTCCCTAAGAGTCCAGGCTGAGAGAGCATCTCTCTTTGTGCTATAGGCACATGAAGACAGTTTGTATACCAGGGATAGACACTGATCCACAGCTCAGGGCCCCATAGGTTGCCCAGGCCTTCTCACTGACACTCACATTTGGGGGGTCCAGATCAGTCCCATGCTGGCCTCCCCACTGTCGCTCTGGGGTCCAAGAGCTCTCCCCTGTTCACATCAGCTGTGTATCTAGTGTATCTTTAATACCTAAGATTCTCTATTCCATCTGTTATGCTTGCATCTGTAATACCTGACCATTTGCCCAGATTTTCTATTTCCAGCATTCCTTCAGACTGTGTTTTTTTTATTGTCTCTATTTCAGCTTCCAACCCTTGCACTGTTTGAATTGTTTCTTGTAATTTTTTTGCTTTGTCTTTTCCTCTCTTTCTTGCATTTGTTGGATTTTTTGGTTTGTCTTTTCTTCCATTTCTTGCATTTTTTGCTTTGTTTTTTCTTTCATTTCTTGCTTTTTTTTTGCAATTTTTAGTTTGTCTTTTCTTTCATGCCTTTAAGGGATTTATATCTTCTTTGAGGGCCTCTATCATTTTCATGAAGTTGTTTTTAAGGTCTTTTTCATCTGATTCTTCTGCAATGGGCTGTTCAAATCTTGCGGGTGTAGATTCTCTAGTTTCTGGTGGTAGACACAGGCCCCATGCAACTGTCAGAGTACAGCTACAGGAATATAGAGAGAAGTCACTTGAGTCCTCCCCTCACTCAAGATGAAACTCCTTCTGCTGGTCGCTCTACTCACCGGCAGGACCTTTATCCCCTCTGAGTGTCCCATAATTTCCCTTGTCTTCAGTGCATAGCATCCAGTGGTCACACATGAAGTTCCAGTTTGGAGTTCCCATTGGCATGTAATGACCTCTTGGTTGGGGTTCCCTGCTCACCCCATGTCCACAACAGCTGGTATCTTTAGCCTCTAGGTCTGACCTGAGATGATTCCTTAGAAATGTCCACTATATTCATCTGCTCAAGGAAAAACAGACCCTTTCCCTTTGCCATATTGCCCTAACCTTAAGGTGCCCTGGCAATTTGAATTTTTTTCTTACTTAAAAAAATCCACCGCCCCTCCCCCCGTCTGCCCTCTGCTTGAAAATTGTTGGGTCTGATCCGAGTGGACTCTCCCCGGCAGGACAGACCACCCAGAGTCTGGCCACATTTCAGTCTTGGCCCCGTCTCTGCCCTCCACCCTCTGATTGAGTGAGGAGAACACCAGGAGGGGCCAGACCAGAGTTGGGGACACTGAAGTCTTGGCCCACCTATGCCACCTGGAGACTAGAGAAGAGGGAGAGACCCCACCTGCACTCACTTGAAGAAGGGTTGAGAAGACGACAGTATAAGAACACACTCAACAACAGAAAGACCAATATGACACCACCAGAGTCTAGGGACTCCACACCAGCAAGACCTGAACATCCCAACACAGATGAAGCAGAAGAGAAGGACCTTAAAACTGATGTGTTCTTGGTTTCGATTTGCCATTATTATTATTATTATTATTTATTTTTTTTTGGCTTTTCGAGACAGGGTTTCTCTGTATTGTTTTGGAGCCTGTCCTAGAACTTGCTCGGTAAACCAGGCTGGCCTTGAACTCACAGGGATCCGCCTGCCTCTGCCTCCTGAGTGCTGAGATTAAAGGCGTGTGCCACCAACACCCGGCCTCAATTTGCCAGTATTTTATTGAGTATTTTTGCATCAATGTTCATAGGGAGATTGGTCTGTAATTCCCTATCTTGGTTGTGTCTTTGTGTGGTTTGGCTACTAATGTAATTGTGGCCTTGTAAAAAGAATTTGGCAGTAATCCTTCTGCTTCTATTGTGTGGAACAATTTGGAGAGTATTGGTAATAACTCTTCCTTGAATTTTTGGTAGAATTCCACACTGAAACCATCTGGCCCTAGACTTTTCTTGGTTGGAAGACTTTTTATGGCTGCTTCTATTTCTTTAGGGGATATAGATCTGTTTAAATAGTTTATTTCTTCTTGATTTAATTTTGGTAAGTGATATCTATCCAGAAAATCATCCATTTCCTTCAGATTCTCCAATTTAGTGGAGTACAGATTTTCAAAGTATGACCTGATGATTCTTTGGATTTCCCCAGTGTCTGTTGTTATGTCCCCTTTTTCATTTCTGATTTTGTTAATTAGCATGTTCTCTCTCTGTCTTTTGGTTAGGTTTGATAAAGGTTTGTCTATCTTGTTGATTTTCTCAAAGAACCAACTCTTTGTTTCATTGATTCTTTGTATTGTTTTCTTTATTTCTACTTTATTGATTTCAGCTCTCAATCTGATTATTTCCTGGCGTCACTCCTTGGGTGAGTTTGCTTCTTTGTGTTCTAGAGCTTTCAGGTGTGCTGTTAATTCTCTAGTGTGGCAATTCTCCAGTTTCTTCATGTGGGCACTTAGTGCTATGAAGTTTCCTCTTAGAACTGCTTTCAAAGTATCCCAAAGGTTTGGGTATGTTGTGCCTCCGTTTTCATTGAATTTTAGGAAGTCTTTAATTTCTTTCTTTATTTCTTCCTTTACCAGGGGTGATGCAATTGAGAATTGTTCAATTTCCATGAGTTTGTGAGGTTTCTGCAATTTGTGTTGACGTTGAATTCTAATTTTAAGTCGTGCTGGTCCAAAAGGATACAGGGGATTATTCCAATTTTTTTTGTATCTGTTGAGGTTTGCTTTACTGCCAAGTATGTGGTTGATTTTAGAGACGGTTCCATGTGGTGCTGACAAGAAGGTAAATTATTTTTTGTTTGGGTGGATAAATTCTGTTAGTTCCATTGTTTCTTTGTTAAGTTTCTGTCTGGTGGACCTGTCCTGTGGTGAGAGTGGGGTGTTGACGTCTCCCACTATAAGTGTATGGGGTTTAATGTGTGATTTGAGTTGTAGTGATGTTTCTTTTATGAACGTGGGTGCCTTTATATTTGGGGCATATGTGTTCAGAATTGAGACTTCTTCCTGATGGATTTTTCCTATCATGAATATGAAATGACCTTTTTCATCTTTTTTGATTAATTTTAGTTTGAAGTCTATTTTGTTAGATATTAGGATAACTACACCCACTTGCTTCTTAACTCCGTTTGATTGGAAAGTCTTTTCCCAACCCTTAACCTTGAGGTAGCGTCTGTCTTTGAAATTGAGGTGTGTTTCTTGTATGCAACAGAAGTATGGATTCTATCTTCGTATCCATTCTGTTAGACTGTATCTTTTATTATAGGTGAGTTAAGACCATTGATATTCAGGGATATTAATGACCATTGATTGTTGATTCATTTTTGCTTTGGATCCGTTTTTGGTGGTGGTTTTATGTGTGAGTTTTTCTCCTATTTCTGATTTCTGGCAAAGTTAGATTATCTATTGCCCTTGTTATTTTGAGTGTAGTTAAAGTCCTTGGGTCAGAGTTTTCCTTCTGGAACTTTCTGTAGGGCTGGATTTGTGGATATGTATTTCATAAATCTGGTTTTGTCATGGAATATCTTGTTTTCTCCATCTATAGTGATTGAGAGTTTTGCTGGGAATAGTAGTCTGGGCTGGAATCTGTGATCTCTTAGTGTTTGTAGAACATCTATCCAGGACCATCTGACTTTCATAGTTTCCATGGAGAAGTTGGGTGTAATTCTGATAGGTTTGCCTTTATATGTTACTTGGCCTTTTTCCTTTGCTGCTTTTAATATTCGTTCTTTATTCTGTATGTTTGGTGCTTTGATTATTATGTGGCAAGGGGATTTTTATTTTGGTCTAGTCTATTTGGTGTTCGGTAAGCTTCTTGTAGTTTCATAGGTGTCTCCTTCTTCAGGTTGGGAAAATTTTCTCCTATTATTTTGTTGGATATGTTTTCTGC